AAAAAAGAGAGAGAATGATTGTGAGCTCTACAACTGAGCCCGATATGCATACATATACCAGGTCTTTCGATCCTCTGCTTCTCGCAGTTTCATCTACAGATAGATCTCGTCGATCTATCTTCCTGAAGTGCATGGTTGGCCCTGGAGGGCTTTCCACTTTACTAAACTATGACCTTCATCCGTCCATTCATTTGCTCCTCCCTCGCTCCTTCATTCTCCTTCGACCTAACTTCCTAACCTTTGTAGTTGCATCATCTAGACGACCATTGTCCTCGTTCCTCGTACACCTGGCCATCTGATGATGATCGGATAACCATCTGATTTGAGTCACACATCCCCAATCACGAACCGTGATTGTGGATCCCGAGTCGTCTGTCCGTCATACGAAAATACCTTTCTGACAGATACTTTTTAACGCGCCAACGAAGATCGCAGCATCCCCTCTCATTTTTCTCCGGAAGGCTCGATCAATGCTACCGGGATGATAGTTGTATCAAAAATTGACTTGAAAGCAGTAGTATAGCGCGATAGAGTGTGTAAGGAAAGAAGGACATGAGAATGGCTCCTCCTACAGCAGTGGCCGCTGCTTGGGCTGCCTTGTATGGTAGGGATGCAGGAATTGTGAATCGTTGCCTTGGCCATTTGACGCCTTCAGCTGTGGACGACTTGACCGTGGCTCTGACTAAGGAAATCAATGCCAACAGCATCAGCAATGATGAGACTCAGTCTATTTATAGGACAATTGGAGAAGCCAGCCTTCGTCGCCTGACGTATCGCTGCATGGACAAGTTTCAGAGCAACCACAGATTAGCTACGCAAGAAATCATGCAAGAAGCACTTCAGTCCCACGTACTACCGGAACATCTAAAGCAAGAACTCGTGACCAAATATGGACAATATAAAGATGAAGCTCCTCCCCAATCTTGGTACGAAGCACTGGAACAGCTCCAGCAAAAAGCCAAGGGTGACAAAGCACAGTTATGGAGACTTATTCTCGATCACCCCATGACTGCATATGTCCCCGTTCAATGTCAAGAATGTGGACATGTCATTCCTGATGACACGACTTGCCAAACGACGGATCAACAGGTGGGACTGGTTGAACTAGAACCTACGGGAGAAGAACTCGAACTCAGAGCGGGTTGGTACAGAGGACCCCGTAAAGCCGTACGATTCCAAATCACCTGCACACAGTGTGGACATGTCTCCTACTGGTACCGCTCGGGACATCCTCGTGTCATTCTCAATCCTCACAAATGGGGACGCTTGTGTGGAGAACAGGAAGATCTACGCTCGGCTTTGGCCTATTACCTGGATATCCCTCTCCGACTCGTTGTGCCTCTGGATTGGGATCACATTTGGAGTGAATACGGCAATCATCCCGTAGACTCTTCTTCTACTACCGGTACTGGTACGGATCCAAATATTATTACCTGGCAAGTCGAAGACGACAGTGCTCGCAATTTCGCCTGTCGCTTGGACGAAGGAATTGGTAGTTGGACTCGAGTACTCGCCATCCATCCGAATCCAACGCTCTGTCAAGATGTCACCAACGCCTATCTGTCATGTCAAAAGGATGGAGGCCGAGCCGAGGACCAACACGACAATAACATGCCACGATATCGACAAACCATCCAATCCGCAAGAGAGGATCCAACCGGTGCCATGACACAGTCACGGACGTTGCATGGATTCGTTTTAGAAAAGGGTCAATTATTGACGGACGACAACCAAGTCACGAGCATCCTCCAACATGCTGCAAACGATCACGCCCATGGCAATAAGGATTGGTGGCAATTTTGACACTTCGGTACCATGCAACCATCCTCGCGAAAGTAACTCAAAAATTTAGGGAAGTGTCCCATGTATGCCGTCTGAAAACGCTACTGATGGATGCCATTACCCCTGCGTGTCATGGATGATACACGAGCTTACATCCGTCTAGCTAGGCTGAGTGAACTTTACGCATGGCATGGAGATGGCTACCGGTATCCGTGCAGAACATGGTGTAAAGCCCGAGACACCCTCGTGCTATCTACTATGTAGCTAGACCAGTGTTTGTAGTCAAACATGCACAAAGATTGAGATAAGGCTTCGCATGCAAGCAGTCAATTATGGATAATTAGCATGCAGATAACAAATCCATGCTACTGTTGGCTAGATAGTACCGGTACCACGCTATTATCGCGGTGGTGTGGATCCTCCATCTCAGAACCACCGCCATGGCGTCCATTGTTGTTTCCCACGCAGCCTTATGCAGCCCAATTGATCTGACCCATATAGTATATTCCATCCCCAATCTTATTCCGTCAGGTCTACCTCAACCCCCGCACCCTCCTTTAAAGCCTCTTGGACACGAAAGGCTACAGTATACGTATATCTAGACTAGTTTGAAGCCATGCCCGGTGATACCAGTAATGGACATGTTAGCCTTGGCTACCCCAAGCTTCGTCTGTGGGACTTGAATGAGACTTCTAGCCATTATGATCATCTGATCGCAGCCCCCAGTGATGAGCAGCTGGTTTCCATGTGGCTTGGGTATGGAGTTGTATTTTCCATCTTTCTTGCTTTCAACCTTGTGGTGTTTCTGGCCATTTTGCTGACCAAGAAAACCAGGACAAATGGCTTCAACCAGTATATGTTGGCCATTATGCTTCCTGACATCATATACACTGGCTACTGCGCCCTTCAGTTCAATGTTCTAGCTGCAAAGGGAAGCTATCGTGGCCATTGGTGCAAAACTCAACTCTTTGTTGCTGTTTTCTTTGCCATCAGCAACTTTTACCTAAATGCTGTTGTAGCTCACGAAGTCAAAATACTTCTTGATGCATCAATGAGGAGACAGAGGTACTTTCCACCCTCCCAAAAAAGAATATTTGTATTGGTCACTGCTTCGTACCTTTGGGCATGCTTGGTAGCTACCATCAGTTTATTAATTGTACAAACTGATGCTCTCCAAGGGGTCGCTTGTGTTCCTTTGGTGGGAGAAGACACACACTCAAAAGTGGCATACTTCCTATTGCTCTTTCCTCTTTCTTTCCTACCCATATTCTATGTATGCTACGTGGCTCTACAGATTGTTAGAGGTGGACTCCTTCCCGACAATGGAAGGACTCGGGAAATTGCCATCTTCTTTGCCAGAATATGCCTCGTCATGGTACTGATGTGGGCACCCACACTCATCAGTCTCATGGTGGGAGCCAAAAACATTTGGGTCTACTATTTTGCTGGCATTTGGAGCATGGCAACAGGAAGTGTCACATCGATCTTCAGTCTATTGAAACCGGATATCCGACAGGCAACACTGGCATTTGTTCGCTGCCAAACCAGACAAGCCAATGAAGAATTCGACAGTTCCATGAATGGCACCACACGAAGCCGCAGCAGCAACAACAAATTCCGCAATGATCGCAGACGTTCATCATTATTCCAATGGGCATCATCATTTCTTGGCTCTTCTCGGAAAACCACTGGTGGTGCTGTGGTGATGGCTGTCCAAGATCCCAATAGATTACAATCTGGTGCTACCTCTGGAATACAAAAAGTTCCCGGAGATCGTACAGTGGAAGATGGGGCTGTGCAACAGGACAATGCTGACAAGGATGATAGTGACGTCGCAAAACAGGTCAAGGACGAGGAAGTGGGGTCTGGGGAAATGGGAGCCAGCTTGAAAATGGATGAAACCTAGTTTTGGATTGAATCAAACAATCTACCAGCGCCCTTGGCCTCTGGCTCGAGGGTCCGGCCTAAAATACATCTACTGTAACAATAAAAATCTGAAACGGCGCCATGTTGGACGTGGAGAACCCAGAGACGCAATGACATATTCCCTTTGGGATGGCCGGACGTACTCGATCCATCTGGGGCAAATCCGAGGCTACTCATGGAATGAATGCAGTGACAATAAGAAAGGTTATAGTTACAGCAATGGTTATAGTTACAGCAATGGGAGGGATACTCGGAAGGCCGAGTCACATTGTGAATTTACGAGAAGACAGTTTGGTCCGATAGTCAGACTCAGAGAACGAAGCGTGATGCTGGTTATCAAGAACCTTCTTTCATTTCAATGACAGATCTGTCTACCAGTGCTTTCTGTCCAGAATAGCTTCGAGCTTCTTCTTTCTTTCGTCTTCGGATTTCTTGGTGCCCAAAGCGAGGCTCATGGAAGTGCTCTGGAGACGAGGGATTCGTGACGATGCTTGGGGCGCCTGGGGCTTCTTCCAATGCGCATGGCAATAACGGTTGCAGCGATGATGGGCAAAAAAGTTGTCAATTCCCTCCTTTCCCAAGTCCGTAGCCCCGTAGGCTTTTTCGTTGTCAGCCGACATGATGACAGGGTCCGTGAGGACGTAAGAGTCTGCATAATGTCCTCCTTGTAGATCGCAGAGGAGGAACTTGCAACCAGTGTGATGATACGAGAAATGTGATAGAGCTTCTTGCATGAAATCTGCTCCGTTGGTGTAGCCTGAGTTGCTGTTGAACTTTAGAAACTCTCCTTCGAGCATGGGTTCCACTAGCTTCTTGGATTTTCTTCCGGTAGCATCTGGGTGGACGTCTTCCCAAATAGCGGGCTTGTTGAGATGGATAGTCTTTGCTCCGATGCCCGTGAAGCAGTGTCCGTTGAATGCATAAATGATGGAATCAGCCTTGTCGACTGCCTTGATATCATTTTGAAAGAAGGACTCTTCATAAACTGATCCAGTCTTGAACTCCTTGATGACACAGAGCTCGCCATTCTGAGGACCTCCGTTGTGGCCAGGAATGCGTGGGTTCGGAACATACCGACCCTTGTGTACCCAGCGAAAGGCACCTTGGCTCCAGCGACTCTGAATCGTGGTGCAGTGCGTAGATAGATTGGTGGTCACATTGCTCGTCTTGCGGCGCTTTCCACTAGGAGTGCTAAACTCGGATCCACTGCGCTTGCTCACGAAAGAAGAAGAGACGCGGCTGTTATTAGTTTCCTTGGTAATCAGATCCACAACTCCTTGCTCAGTGGCTCGACGCCGGATTTCCACTGTATCAGATGGGTTGCGAGATCCAAGGCACTGAACCGACTTCGTGCCAGGAGGCCCACCATTGTACGACATTCTCTACAACACAAATCCTTATGACTGGCTTGTCTTCGATTTCCTTTTGTGGGGCATTTGGATTCTGGATCCTCTTATTCTTTCTTGCCGAAAACCTGGGATGAAAATTTCACGCCGGCTTCGTGCGCTTCTCTGGATCTTTTTATTCGATTGTTGGATCTTTCGACGAATGAAGGACTCGAATTATTCGAATGAGGAATCTCAATCGTCCCACGGTAGAGTCCACGCTCCGGAGTGTTCCACGACGCACCTTGAAGCTTCACGACGGTCTTCAATGCCCAGAGCTAATCTCAATGGTGCATGTGGGCTAATAGCTAGAGACAGCTACTGTACATAGTTCCTGAGCCTACGGTAATACCTTCGAGATGATATTATCCTTTTGAGTGCCTCCGTTGCTATGAACCTAAAAGACGTACATGATTCCGTGACGTGATTCGATTTGGTCGACTTTCTTGACAAGCTGGTCCTGTTCTTCTGTCACAAACTGAGCGTCATTTCTTCAGAAACGACTACCTGGTACCGAAAAAAGCCGAGGCGTTGCCTTCGTACCAGATTTCACCTTGCATAGACCCTTGGATTCCACACCCATCGTTCAAGTCCTCATTGGGCTGATCGCCAGAGAATACGCATCCAGCTTCGAAAGTGGCATCCTCTGCGTACCAGCAAACGGATGGTAGAAAACCATCAGATGCGTGCCAGACATACCGCTGAATGTACTCGGTGTAGTCAGCTTCCCTGAGTATCTCCAAAATTTCAGTTCCATTGGGTATGTCGCCGCTCTTGAAGCTGATGTTTGCAATAAAATCTACCCACAATCGCAAATTCCGCCAACTATGCAGGTAGGTAATATTCTGCACCACTGTATCAAAGGACTCAAAGATGAAAGGAAGCGACGAAGAGGAGAGCAGCGACCCATAGAAATTGTTAATCTCAGTCTGCAATCCTTCTATCAAGCAACCCCAGGATTCACTGTCAGGAATAGCCCTAGAAACAGAATGCACAAGCAGAAATTCAACAAAGATGCTTTCTTCTTCTTCTAACACCGGGCAGGTGCAGTTCCCAATTGTAACTGGAGGTGGAGCAACGGAATCATCCCATTCTCCAACCAAGGCGAGCTCGCCAGCCATAGAAACGCTATAGTTCAATCCGGGGCCAACCTGGGGGTAGCGTCCAGGGTATTGAAGCGAGAAGGATAAGCAACCATCACTGGGAACGCACGCTTCTGCCACATGCACCATGTCAAAGTCAGTTGAATTGTAGGGTCCCCTCTCGAGGATCAAATCACCCGAACAAGACTTTATGTGCCACGCAAAGGAACTTGGATACGTGGCTCGGGCAGTGATGACAAGAGAACTATTGTCGAGGTTGCATTGGATGGGAGGGTTCTTGGGGACCACTATTCCAGGCGAACAATCCCCCAAAGGATAGCGAGCTTGTGAACCACAGTGAACATTTGCGGTAGAGTTGACCAATGTTTGTCCGTCCACAAACACAGCATAGTGTACTGGTACGAGAGCCAATGGTGAACGGCAACTGTCCTGATACGTCACAGAAAATGTAGCACAATCTGTCAAAGCTGGTATACAGTGCTCAACAACATCTGTTTGTCGATAAGTAGAATGGAAAGGGCCTCCTGCACTGATGACTTTGAACGAGTCTCTGAGAGACCATTCCACTGGGCCAAGCTTATATTGAGGCTGTCGCAACTCAACTCTAAAGAGTGACTCTCCTTCCAGGCAACCCGAACACTTTCCAAAGTGGTGTTCTTGGTAGCCCTTGTCCCATGACGAAGTGTCCCTGAGATCCTCCTCTCCGTCCACAAAAATGCGGTAGCCAACGGGTGGATCAAGTCTGTCCACAGGGCTCTCAACAAGAGGGCTAACCCAATTGGCGGTGTAATGAATAGTGAAAAGGAAACATCCATTTTTTAAATCCACGCATACTTCGTCCCCAAGCGTCGAGAATGGCGGGTAACCACGATAGGGCCCACCCGTTAATCTCTCTTCACCGGACCCAACATCTGTCAGATGCCATCCAACCAGTTCAAACTCCCTTTCATCTGTAGTGAAGGAAACACGAAAAAGAGACAGGTTTCTGGGGCATTCCGTTCGATATTTGTAGACAGATGTGAACTTGGGAATACCAACAGCCAGAATGGAACCATCATTGGAAAGGGAAGTCGAATCGCCGCCATTCATGTTGCTGCCTAACAGCTGGTAGTCTGTACCATTCCAAACGTAGCTCTGAATAGCCGCGCCGTCATTGTTGGTTCCCACAACAACAATGGATCCATCGTTAGACAAGTCTACCGAATATTCCGCAACCTTGTCGTCTTGCATGTCTCCAACCAAGAGGCTTCCGCGCTTCTCCCAATCCTCTCCCTCCCAACAGTAAACTTGGACTCCTGTGATATTATGATCATCAAAATAAGCGCCAATGGCAATGACCATCCCGTCGCCCGAAAGGGCCATGTTCTGTAAATCAAAAAGCTCATAATAATCTGATACAGTTTCACTCGTAGAATAGCCGTCATGCAACACAATTGAACTGCCTTGCTGCTCCCACCGTGCTCCAAAAACCCATGGCCGTGGTGTGCTGAATACTTGCACAACCATATCCGGACCCAACGAGACTTGATTGCTGGCAACCGCAATTGTGCTACCCGAACTTGACAGTGAGAGGACAAGCCTCATGTTGTGATCATTTATTCTTTCCAGATAAGGGATAGGAATAAACGAACTTGGATTAAATAACTCACTGCGGTAGTACACGTCAACACGTTGGCGTGTGTCAGCACTCCGAACTGCCAGCAACCTTCCGTCATCGGATAGAGCAAAGACACGGCCACCTGCATCAAGATCAGATCCCGCCTGTTGACAGCCCTGTGCCCAGCAGTAAAAAACACGGACAATCCATATCGTTCCATCTCCTTCGCGATCCAAGGCCATACTGACTGCAAGCACAAGCGGGGTAGGATGCGAAGGAGTGCTCACATCATTCGCTGACCCACCTGCCATTGCAATATGCAATCCATAGTATTCTCCTTTTCCAGCCAGAAGCTCTAGAGCGCTCCGTTGAATCCAGTGTTTTCCATCGCGATCAAAAACTTGTACCAGATTGTCTACAGGCTCAGCAACAGCGAGGGACGAACCAGAAGGAGACAGGGCAACAAGCACTCCAGACAGACCATCCCTGCGGCTAATGGATTCCACTGGTTCGCTATTTGGCGCCCAATAGTTCGTTTCATGACAGAAGAAGTATCCAGCATCGGTGAACCCATTGGAACCTTTGCCACAAGTATTCTCTCTAGTGCTCACGCACGTCTTGTGACCGAAGAACAAAGATGAGATGGCTATGCACATGAAATCAAGAAAAGATTGGCATTGCTGGCACGTACCTGAGGGCAGCAGTCACCATTGTCATACGAAAACTCAGCTGTGTTAAAGAATGGATCACAGCGACCATTCCCAAGCGGTGGAACTTGACATAGCACACCCGATGAGCCAGTCACACATTGGCACGTGCCATTGATAGTGCAAACAGAATCGTACAAGCAGGGATTGGTAGAGTCTTCACAGATGGAACAAAGCAAGACGGCGTCCAATGGGCGGTTGGAATCTGAAGCCTGCATGCCCTTCTGTCCGCCATGGACCACAGCTTTGAACCACTTTATTCCAACCGGGGTTGCTGCATCCTTAGGTGTATCAACATCCACTGCCTCACTGATGAATGCTACTTCATACTCGGAGAAGTGAGCGTGAAACTCAGATAGGTATCGAGTCAGACGCAGTTTGGGGTCTGCAAGATCGCCACTAGAGTTTCCCAGAGCCAGCCATTTGGACTCAGTGACAACCCATCGACGCCCTGTGAACATGACAATGTCAAAGAATCCTTCGCGGGTTTCGCTGATATAGACAGGGCGGTCATAGACTTGTGTCGTGGCACCAGTACTCGCAGCGTTGTTCCCGTCAAGGCTGGGTAGAGTAGCAGCCTCAAAGTGACTGGACCACTCCCTAGTTCCCGCGAAGGTACCAGAGAGAACATCAAGTTCAAGGGTTAAGCACGGTTGTTCAAACTCACAACGCAGCCCATAAGATTTCGTATCACATTGACAAGAGTTGTCCACGCATACACCTCGCCCGCCGCAAACATCTTCACTGTTCTGGTTTTGACAATCGTAGCATGCCATGCTGAAGAATTGGAGTGGAGCTTTTCCTGCGGCTTTTCTAACCACCCATTGCAGCGAGGCCGTAGATTCCAGGTTGTAAGTAATAGTCGGTGGAGATTTGACTTGCCAGTCACACGGATCAATGTTTTTGCTTTCGTCGAAAGCAAAGGTCCAAGCTTCTAACTTCTTGCAGTATCCAAATTTGGCTCTTCCACCGCTTCTCTTCTCGACATAGACAACTTGATGAGGAAAGAGCGAACGGCTGGGTAGTTGTAGGTCGTAGAGGCCACCAAAGGCTCCCAATGCCGGTACCAAATCATCTGAAAACTGAATGTGAAGAACCTTACACAAATACCGAGCCGAGTTTTGTTGGTGAACAACTACACCCCAACCTACAAGCATGAACAGCAAGATGACGAGGAGCAGCACTATGCGCAACAGGTACTTCCTTTTGGACTTGGCTCCTTTGATCGTGTAGGTGGTGTTTTCAATCAGTTCTGCCTGCTGTTGGTTGTCCCTTCCTGCAAAGCCTTGCTGGGACAAAAAGAATGCAAGTTCGTCCAGCTGCGAGATGAATTCCATGGCAGTGAAGTTCTGAATGGGCCAATGAGAAGCATGGTTGAGATGAAGTCATGAAGTCAACTACATGTGTACTTAGCAATTGTACAGTTGTTGTACTTACTAGCAACAGGTCGACTACCACCTCAGCTCGGACTATCAGAAAGAATGTGACAATCAACCCAAGTCCCCCCTCCAAAATTCGAAAGACAATGGCACAAAGCCACTTGGGAAATGACACTGCGACCTTCGCTCCATTGTCGACAAATGGTTGAAAGTGCTCCGTTTTGTATCCATCGTATGCCAATAAGATGGCCGTGCGGATATCATCTTGAGTAGCGACAGCAATGAGAATGGCAACGAATTGTGTGAACCGGACCGCGGAATCCACATTGGCGGGTATCCCTAATGGATTGGATTGGCTTTTGCTGGCATCAATATCACTGATATTGACGGCAACCAGCGTGAAGATCAGAACCTGCACAAGCAGGACTGACATGCCCCACCACATGGAAGTATCGCATGGTCGAGAAATCACCAGAAAAGAAAAGGTGTCTTGGGCAAGACTTCGCTCTTCGTGATCATCTGTGGGCGCAGATGTGGGTGAGCTAGAGCTGGAACCATGAGCTGAGCTACTAGTATTTGCGTTTAGCCCCTGCTCCATAGTGAGGATCCTTTGCTGCTGGGCATTCAGCTGGGCTTCCTGTTGTGCTAGCTGAGCTTCGAGCTGTTCAATCTTGGAAAACACCTGATCCGCAGGCGGCTCCATAGTTAGGATCCTTTGCTGCTGTGCTTTTATCTGGGCTTGCTGAGACTCCATTTCCACCCTTAGCTTTTCAATCTTGGAAAGCATCTGATCTGGACGCGGCATCAAGAGGGCCATGGTCTCTTCCGAGCCATCATCGTCCGACTTACGATCACTGGCCATACTGGGGATGCCAGTAACAGGGAGCCCCGAGGTGTCGTTCGGGTTGTTGTCCGAGTTAGAGTTGCTTGCGGTGGTACTGTCCGAGTCTTTCATGGCTCGCTATAAAATTCGTGGTAGACTACTCCTGATGTTATATTTTTAAAAGATATGCGAGCCCTCATTCTCCTCCATTTTCTGTGCGGGGTTCTCGGTGTTCTGGTTCTCTTGGATCTTTTTGTTCGGTGGTTGGATCTTTGGGCGAATGCCAGGAGTCGAGTGAGTCGAGAGACAGTCGAGTTATTCGAATAAGTCGAACCAATCGTCCCCACGGCCCACGCTCCGGATTGTTCCACGAAGTGCCTTGAAGCTACATGATGTTCCTCCCGAGTGACAGTCGAGGAGTCAGTCGTCGTGTCTACGGTACGCACCGGCATCTTTGGTATCTTTTGGTATCTCCGTGATGATGTCCTTTTGACTGCTTCAGTCTCACAAAAGCAGTTTCATTCGACCTAAGTAAAACGAAAACTGGCTCGAAAACCCCGCAACGAGAGTGATCCAATCCAGCACGCAGAACGACAGCACTGTTTCTTCGTACCCGAACCGACGCCAACAACCGACCACCATGCCTAAAGGATATTTGATTGCTCACGTCAAAGTCAATGACTTTGAAGCCTTTACGCCCTACAAGGAACGCGCTTGGGAGTTGGTAGACAAGTACCACGGAAAATGGATCGTACGTGCCCCACTCGGAGGTGATGTTCGTGAGAATGCCAATGGCATTGCTAGCGGAAGTGCCACCGTTGTGGTGGAGTTTGAAAGTCTGGAACTTGCCAAAGCGTATTACGAGTCGGAAGATTATCAGGCTGCCATGAAGCTTCGTTTGAACAATTCCGAATCCACCTTTGTCCTCGTGGAAGGTGCCGAGTGAGCGAGAGAGGTGAAGTAGAAGTACTAGTGCTGGGCCAGTACCGTCCATCGAAGGTTGCACGGAGGTGATTACGTTCGATGTACCGGTAGACATAAAGTCTAGAGAGTTGATGTTTGTCTTCTCGTCACCGTCTAGCTAGACTTGCACGTCTATTGCTCGATGAAGGCTGCCTTGTATCTTGCGGTATCGGTCCGGTGCCATCCACCCGACACCGTACCCGACGGCTGGTACGTTCAAACCATGCAAGTGTGCAATACCGTACTCTAACAGTGCCACTTCACAGCAATGCAATCAACAACAACATGACCTGCATCATCAGCTCTGCTGCTGTTGAGTGCACATGTGGACTGCCTGGCTGCGCGTCAGAACATTCAAATGGCTCTGTTGTCTTGACACAAAGTTGCCGTCTTTTGTGTCATTGATGATGCACACGTTACCGCAACACATCATCTTCCCATCCAAAGTGCTACCACATTATGGCTTGGGTTTGAGGTAGATGTGGTAAATCGAATGTTGCATTCAAAAGTTTAGAGTAAGCAGTAACTTTATCATACTAGTAGCTATAATTACCTCAGCTACTGACTTGGCAGTGTTCCGGATGTTTTGCTCTGGTCGGAAAGGCGCAAAACGCTGACGTCAGACAGTTCCGGTCTCGTCATTTCTTCCTCCTTTCTCGCTGCAACCAATGAATTTCCCCCCTGTCCAAGGCACATATCAGATTCTCATTACCATTGCCTTGGCTTCCATTTTCTTCCTTCAGCAATCTTTTGTTGAGTTATCTTTGTTTCTCAGATTCTGCTAAGCTATGTCTGAATCTACTACCAGTGCCAGTGCTGGAGATGCCACAGCATCGGTGGCAGATCCGCGTGCGATTTCGAGAGATGTCTTCTCTGCCACTCTGGGTTCTATTTGCTGTTGCTACACAGGACAACCCTTGGACACGATCAAAGTCAGAATGCAAACCAACCCTGCAGAATTCCCGGGAGTCTTTTCTACCACGACATCCATTTTCAAAAATGAGGTGAGTGAGCAATGACAGATCTTATGGCACAAACTTCATTCCACATTCTCATACTTTGTCATCCTATTTTAATACTTCACTCTGATGGATGGGTTTATTTATTGATTTCAGGGAATGGCGGCTTTTTGGAAGGGATCTATTCCAACCGCTGTTGGAATGGCCTTTGAAAATGCAATGGCATTCGGGGTCAATGAAGCACTCAAAAGAGCATTTCCAGATGATCCAGCACAGAAAAATCTAGATGCACCACCAGATCTAGGAAAACCATTCCTCATGGTACGAACCAAAGGACATGAAAATACACAAACCAACAGTCAATCTGCATGCAGCCATCTCAATATTACATTTGCCTTTCCTTTTTAAAATTACAGGGAGCCATTACTGGCTGCTGTTCGGCATTGGTCCTACTGCCAAGTGAGGTCATCAAAACCAAAACACAATTTGTGGTAGGTGAAAATGTCAGCTCACAAGAAATCATGAGGAGAATGATCAAACACTCGGGATACAAGGTGCGTGCGCTTTTCTTTGCCCTTCAATTTTGTTGGATGTGCCATCATACAATTTTATCGTGTTCCTCACAAACTTGAGGTTCTTCTTTTTTACTAAAACAACAATCCATTTCCTTGCCAATTCAATTTGATTGGATTTGATTTGATTGGATTGGATTGGAGCAGAGTCTTTTTGCAGGATTGGATGCTCAGCTGGCCCGTGATGCTTCTTTTTATGCCCTTTTCTTTGGTGGATACGAACTATTCTGTTACTCCTTCCGAACTTTTGTCCCATCTATGCCAGAGGAACTCAACTATTTCATAAGTGGTGGATTTGCCGGCATGTTTGGCTGGGCTATGGCCATGCCATTTGATGTCCCAAAAACAAATGTACAGGCACGCTACGACTGCAAAATTGTAGGAAGCTACTTTCCCGAACTATTCAAAATTGCCAGAGAACGAGGAGTTGTGGGTCTCTATGCAGGGCTCGGACCCACACTGGCACGCGCCTTTCCCGCCAATGCAGCCCTCTTTTTGGGTGTGGAAATGGGAAAGAAACTGTTTGACAAAGTGTTGTAAAGCGGAGGCGGATGAATGGAGTCATTGGAGATGGAGGAGATGCAAGCAACACGGTACAAAACTATACAAGCGATGCATGCATAAAATAGATTTTGCACCAGCTAGAGCAATGGATCTACTCTCGAGCCTACATACCACGTGCCTCGTGCAAACAACGTCTTCTCCCTGACTGCCATGGCAAGATTGCTTTCCTAAAAACTAGTCTACGTTTTACTGGCACAGCTATGTACCGGTAGCTCGTGGTGATTCCGTCGATGACTTTGCCGAACCGTCGACCACAAACATGGACATGACAAAACATCACCAAAGTGGCTGCAGATGGACCCATACTTTCTTGCGTTTACAACCGTTCTATCCACCGTAGGTATCGATAGGGACTCGTCACTCGTTCATCCTCAATGATTAGAATGATCGGGTATCGAAATGATCACTGATGGCTGTAGCAACTCGATCACGGCAGTTCCGAATTTTTGGCATGAAGATTTTGAAAGCCATGGCTAGCCTGGAGCAGTAAGATATTCGTGCCTTTGAATGAAAGCTACTATTAATAGTAGCTGACCACCACAAAAGCTCCACGGACTCTCAACCGCGGCCGGGGATCGGCTGTTAATACAAGTAGAAGTTTGTGAGAAACAAGGGTTCGACTGGAGTAGACGAAAGATACTTAGAGATGAACATCTGGCGGGTGGTACTTAGCTTAAGTATCCAAATGTACTGAAATGTCTATAGTAAACCTCTCGCGCAATAGTTTCACAAGATGCTTGAACACATCTTTCTAGCTTTGGCAACCCGCTCAATGCGTGGGGTGTGGTGGGGTGAGGGACGAAAAGCCATGTAAATCCAAGTCAAAAGGAGCCAGTTTTGTTGACAAACAAAGAGACGACCATGAGGATGCCAATTGCAGAGCCGTCCTGTTTAAAAAGAAGGCGAAGAACGAGACCTTCAAGACTCTTGAATGGAGCTTCAGTGCTGTGCTTGTTCGCAGGTCTCTGTTTGCCATGGTCAAGGCCATTGTCAGTTCTTGGCTTTGACTTGAACTTGAATGTGGATGTGGATGGGACTTCGACCTCGCATGGGTCTAGTAATACCCCTGGCCCAGGTGGTCCCCACCAGGGAAGTTACTTTCTGATTCATGGTGGTCATCGTCCTGAAGCGCTCAATCCTTCCAAATTGGACGCTGCCTTTAGTACCAACTTTTCCAGAAAAGCCATTGGATCAGATAAGGATGGATATTTCGACTTTGGACTTGGACCACGAAACGGGACTACTGGACAGTTGCTTTTCCATGAAAATGAATCTGGGAATGCCAGTAAAGCCAGCGGTGGCGCCAACCAGGATGCAAATCAATTCAAAGACGGAGAAGGAGCAAGTGGAAGCAACTCTTCCCGAAAGGCAATTGGAAGCAATGCCAATGGGCTGTCCTACGATCCAGCTAACCAGGATCTGTCTGATCCCAATGCCAATCTATTCCAAGCCGGAGAAGGAGCGAGCGGAAGCAACTCTTCCCGAAAGGCAATCGGCAGCAATGCCAATGGGCTGTCCTACGATCCAGCCAACCAGGATCTGTCCGATCCCAATGCCAATCTTTTCCAAGATGGAGAAGGAGCAAGCGGAAGCAACTCTTCCAAAGGAGACCATGATGTCCCAGAGAACGCTACAACGTCAGGGGATGCTAAAAAGCCCGTCATAAATTCCAGCTTTCCAAACAAAGGAGTTCCACCAGCACCACTACCCAAGCCCAAACCTAATGTCACCACCGCAACGGAAACGGAGCCACCTATTCCAGATGAGGATACTCCTGCCATTGGATGGGACGACGAAGATAAGACCAACAAGAAAAGCCCCATCAACCCTCCAGGAACTTCCCTTCTCCACGGAATGGGACACATGTCCACTCACCAAAACACCCCAAGCAGTGTTACCAAGCCAGGAGGAAACAGCGTCGCTGCCAATGTCCCGCTCAATATTGGAACCGGTAGTGACATGTTCGATTTCAGCTTTTACAATCCTTTTGAAGTCAAGATTGTCGGAGGAGACATTGTCAGCAAGCAAAAGGCCAAGAGCAAGTACCCTTTCTATGCTCTGTGGCAAGATGCCAATTGTGGTGGCAGTGTTGTTCACGATGATAGTAAGTACAGTACTCGATCATTTGGGTGCCATTAGATTCGACTCTGCTTGGACGGACGCCTCCTTGCATGACCCTATCAAACGATTGTTTCTCATACTCCTTCACTGCTGTCTTCCAATCAACATCTACAGTCATTCTGACGGCGGCTCATTGTGGCTTTGAAGAGCTGGACAAAGTCAAACAGCAAAAGACATTCTACTTATTGACCACCAAGCACGGGCAAGGCATGAAACGCGAGCTTGTCGACACACGGTTGCACGAAGAATACGGGGCAGAGTATGGAAATGAAAACGACTTGCGCATTGTGCGCATCAGAGAATCGGCACTGGTCGAACCCTTTACGGACAAACCCACGGGGGTGGAACTCGTCGAGCTCAATAGAGATAGAAGAGTTCCTGAGGATGGGTCCGATCTCGAAATTGTCGGATTTGGGTTGACCGAGGAGGATGGAACCGCCATGTCAAAGGACTTGTACGATGTCACTGTACAGAAAGTGCCTTGGGAGACCTGCAACGATCAGTACGGTGATGATGTCATCATTGACAAGCTCATGATTTGCGCCGGAGCGGAAGGTGGTGGCAAAGATGCTTGTCAGGTAGGTTTGGAGTCTTACCAATGGTTTATCGAAAAGTCTTGGTCCGAACGAACCAACAATCTCTTTGTTCTTTCCTCCTTTTCAGGGTGACAGCGGCGGTCCAGTACTCGATAAGAAATCGCAAAAGCAGGTTGCTGTTGTTTCATTTGGCAATGGCTGCGCTAAGGCGGATTTTGCGGGAGGTAAGAGCAATGGAAGGAAACATGTCGAAGACTGGCGATCACCGTTAGAGCGGAAACCGTATGCATGCCAAAGAATGGCTTGTCATGGTCATGTGGTTGGAGGCTGGGGACCGCGGCCTGTCCGTGCTCCGTTCGACGCATGATCCGACGTGTCTCTATATCTTGGCTGTTTCTTTTGTCATCTCACACTTTCTTCCTTTGCAGTCAACGTTCGTCTTAGTTCTGCTCTTGGCTGGATTGATGAGTCTATTTGCTGGCTGAGTCGGACCCCACCGGCAACGTGCCATCCTTACATTGCCAAGTGGGGGGATTGCATCGGAACCCTGATTGCCGCTGACATTGTCCTAACCGCGGGCAATTGTGGGCATTGGGAGACAGATCCACTCGTAAACAAGCAAGTCTCGTTCCCAGCTAACCCCAACATCAAACGGAATGTCGTCGAAAGAGCGGTGCCTCCAGAGTTCAACTACTACACCAAGGACGCCGACGTACAGCTTTTGAAACTGGAAACGAGTGCCCTCGTCGACGGCAAGCGGAGACGAGATACCGGCCTTTTCGTGGCGCCCCTTCGACGAAATACAAATACACCGCCGTTCGGGCTTTTCGAAGTCAGTACGCTGAATAATGCAAGGGTCAACGATGATGGTATCTCGAACTTGCAGCAGATTTCATTGGAGTCTGTCACTGGTAGTGCCTGTCCTGTCCCCAATGCTGTCGGCGACGACAAGATGTGCACGGTTGTGGCCCCGGATGGAGACAACCCCCAAGCACAAACATGCAAATCTCTCCCCGGTTCTCCCGTTCTGGACGACGACTGGAATGTTGTGGCCGTCAACAGTTTCGGCAAGACCTGTGATAATCCATCTCTTGGAGGCGCCAGTACCAAGATCTCGTCGGTAGGGACTTGGATCGATGCCAAGATCTGCGAATGGACCGACTACAGGAAGCCAAGTGAGGTACTCTGCAAGAGATCCGCGATGAAAACCTCTTTCGAACAGAACGGACCGGGTGCCTTCGTCGTTACTGTGAAGCATGACAAGTTCCCTGAAGACGTGTCTTGGCGTCTGCTTCATGAAGCAAGTAGTACTGAGTTGTATTTCCAGGCCTACGACAAGGCTGACGAAGCATATGTGACTGTCACCGAGCGTTTCGAGCACTTACCTGCGGGAACCTATCGCTTGGACATTAGCGATAAAGCAAGCACGTACGTGACACCGCTCAAGAAGCACACCGACACACCGATCCATTGGGAACACCGTGACATACTCACTTTTGCGAATACCTTTGCTAAACTGCTTTGTCTTGTCGCCTACACTTTCTCTGCTGCAGAGGTTTGTGTTGTGACTACGGATACGAATCCATCTCGATCAATAACATGGCAGGAGAGAGTATTTGGAAGCACAATAATGGCGCCGGCGAGTATCACGCAGTGGAAGTGCATGTCGATGCAGATGGTGCCGTGTCCGTCTCTGATGACTTGGACACATATATTACTCCAGGAGCCATCACAACGCAAGGAAATATGCGACTGTACACTCGTGATCCCGAGACTTTCGATACTCTCTGGCCGGGTCTATACCCCGATACGATGAGCAAATTGGTAGTCAATGTCAAGCTCGACATGTTTCCGGATGTAGGTTCAGCTGGCGCATGCAACCTATCCTTGTCCCTGACCTCTAGCAACTCTAAACCTCACGCTGTCTCCCACCATCATCAAACGTCGCAGGAAACAAGCTGGGACTTGGCATTGATAGACGGCGATTCCGAAACGAGCATGCTGTCGATGAAGGGCGGAATTGCGGGCGAGGTTTCATCCAACCCGGTCGACTTGGTACCAGGTGGCGTGTACGGCTTCTACGTTCGCGACGCAGGTGGTGAGTGGTTTTGCATGTTTGGCCTAGCCTGAGCCATAACGTGCCCCAACTCTTGCTCGCCTTGGTATGTTCGACTGTGATTTCACACCTCTCCTCTTTGCCCTCCAGGCGATGGCATTTGCTGCAAATACCGCAACGGCTTCGTCACGCTCA